AGTATCAAAAACATGATTTCCGATAGCCAAAGTTGAACCATGATGCATTTCATCACAAGTAAAATCCCAATATTTTTCACAAACGGTATTATATAAAGTTGTATTTTTTTTTTTTGTACAAGATAAGAAAAAGGAATACAAATTACATCAAAATATTTCTGAGGTTAGGGAGGGACCTCCACAAATAATTATCGAAAGGAGCAAAAGACTGAGAATGCCCTGAGAAAGGAGTATCAAAAACATGAATTTTCGATTAGCCAGAAGTTGAAACCCATGATGATTCATTCACAAGTAAAATCCAATATTTTTTCACAAAACGGTATTATATTATATACTCTACATATATCTGGTATATATATATATATATATACGTCACTATTTCTAGGGCGGAAAAGCGGATCATTACAATTTTGCTTTTGAACTTTTAATTTAATAAGTGTAAAATGTGTTAACATTAATGAATTATATTAGTATGGGAAATTTTTAAATTTATAATTAATTTATATAGAAATGAAAACTAAAAATTCATTTTCAATGTTAAATGATTTATCTAAACACTTAAAGTTTCATAAAAGTCAACGAATTCACCTAACGTTAATGTTAATATTTTGTCTGTGCTTCGTGGTTTGAAAAGATCCATCGATGAAATTATTGTACCAACTCAAATAGGAAAATTGCAACTTTTTCTTTTTTTTTTTTTTTTTCTCCTTTGGTTAAAAAGAAAAAAATTATTGTTTGGTCTAATTAATCAATAGTTTTTTTTTTTTTTTTTTTTTGAAAGAGTATTAATCAATAGTTTAGTAAATAGGACCTTGGACTTTGGTAAAAATCATTTTTTTTTTTTTTTTTTTTTGAAAGAGTATTAATCAATAGTTAGTATAATAGGAACTTGACTTTGTTAAATCACATGGCAATTTTCTTATTGGATTCTGGATTTGACTCGATATCATATTATCGGACAGAAGTGAAAAGTAAAAGGCAATAACATTTGCTTTCTTTATTATTTACTCCCTCTGTTTTGTTAATTTAGAGAAATTAGAAAAAGTACAGAGATTAAAAAGATGGTTAAATCAAAATTTTTATTCAATTTTTGCCTTTAATAGTTCTTATTAGCCTTAAATACACGATTAATGGTGAGGAAACTAGCTCACTAACAGAGTCTTCCTATAAAATATTTATTAGTCAAAATTACGGCAAAAAATGGAGATAGGTGAGAGACTATTCGTTTGAATTTGAAAATTCAAGTATTCCAAAATAAAGTTTTTGTTTGAAAATTTGAGTTTGCCTCCGTTAATTAAAATGGTGGACATTTTATATAATATGCAAGAATTTTTTATAAAATTTTGAAGGTAAAATTTTAAGAATTACAAGAGTCTTTTCAATTTCTATAATATAGGTACGTATATTTCAATACAAATTGAAACTTTCATTGACACTAGTAAGAAAGAAACATGGTCTGTGAGATCATGAACTCACCTTCTTCATTGCCCCGTCCAAAAAGGAGGGCACCTAATTTGTTTGCTAAAACAAAAAATTGAGCTCATAATACAAATATTGTTCATGCTCATACCATAAGTTAGAGCAAACTTCTAAAGCACCGCATACAAATATAGCCTAATATAAATCGTACAGTTTATTCGTCAAAATAAAATTCGTGCGCATATTAATAAGGTGTATTCTCGACTTAAAGATAATTTTTAAAAAGTACAGTGCAATACTAGAGTGTGATTGTATTATGGAAACTTCTTTTCCAAAAAAATAATGATATTCATATTCACATGTATAAAGTGAGCACGCTTCTAAGAAACCGCGTACAAACATAGTATACAAAAGAATTTCATTTCAGTTTGTTTGATAAATATTAAATTTGTGTCCAAATTAAAAGTGTAGTATGAGTGTGTGTGTGTATATATATATATATATTTAAATTGAGATATAGTGTTAGGTTTATCAATAATGCTTAAGTCTGGTGCCCTATTTACTATTTCTCTATGATGATTATTGAAGATACTTAGTGTTAGGTTGTATCAATAGATGCTTAAGGATGCTGGTTGCCATCTATTTACCTACTTTCTCAGATGATGATTTATAAGGATTTAATTCAAATTGTTTTAGCGTCTTCTGAGGTCAGATTCGCTGTCATCAGAGTTGGTGATTTTCTTCCTAATAAATGTTCTATATTTCTAGAAGGCTTTCCACGTTAAGCTGCTGTGCAAGGGGAACTTACATACGTTGAGTACGCTTACGGCTAACTCCAACCCAATGAGCGCACAGTCGATTACGATAAAAATGCCTAGTCTTGGACGGCATACAGCATTACTCAAATAGATTCAAAAGAAAATAAATCTTTTAGGTAAAAGCCAATACCATATATTATAATAATAATTATGATATATATTATATACTATAGGGAATGTCAAACAATTGATATATATAGGGTGCAACAATTGAAATGTGTGGCCTTCTTATGAAATTTCGCCATATACTTACTCTTGTTTGTCTCAGATCCGTAAAGTTGAGCATATTTCTACCAAACTGCTTATAAATATTACCTTGGCTCATACTTTGGAAATAGAAGATAATTTATTGCTTAATCCCTCTTTTATCTACCACTATACTCATTAACTAAGCCAAAAAAATGCATATAACATAGGTTATGCAAGGGCATTTTGGACTTTCTCTTTTAACATCCTTCCCAAAATTTCTATTTATAGTAGAATTCTCTACATAAAACAAACATGATAAATGAAATTTTTTTCTAAAGTAACAGAACAAAGTGAGTACATTATAAACAACACAACAATGACAGTCATCATCTTTGAATAAAATTGATGAAAATCTTCATAGTGGAGACAGCTCGAATTCGAAACCACTCACTCCTTACATCTTTTTACAGAATATACAAAGACCAATAAGAATACATTTGATTCACAATTTAATCACGTTCAATTATACGTTGTAAGTGAAACTTATAAAAAATGGCATGTTGCTCAAGTTCTCATTCTTGAAGGGAACTAGCTAAGAAAATTGCAAGTTGCAAGAGAAAAAACAGTCAAACTCTTGATCTTGGGTTGAGATTGGATGGATGCTTATCACCTACTCCTTTTTATCTTCTTCTATTTATTTAATTATTTCCTTTCCAAAACATGTCTGAATGTATGACACTTTCCTCCCTTAGGATGCTCATGTGCAAATTTTTTTTTTCACTTTTGATCATTCCAAAGAAAATGACCTAAATTTCTTATTATATATATTTCCAAAAGAAAATTGACCTAATATTTGTCTACCAATATAATATATATTATTACTATATATACTATACTCTTTCACTAGTATATTGTAATTATATAAACGAAAATGACCTAAACAACACACATATATAGAAATAGATATAAAGAAAATGACCTAAACACACACATATATAGAAATAGAAGGTGCTTGGTGTTATTTTTTTCATGAGGAATGTGATATATGCCTTTAATCCAAAACTCATTTTGTTAGTGCTTTGGTGACTCAAAACAATGGGCACTAACCCCAACTTGCTAATTAATAATTGATTAACAGCTTAAACCATTATTTTACCTTCACTAATCTTAATTAGTACTATATTCAATTTTTTTTTCCTTGGAATAGACTGTACTTCCATTGACTATATGTCATTTTCTTTGTGTTTTTTAAATGAAAATTAAAGAATTATGACCAAGTCTCTACTGTCATCTCCTGTAGCTAAAGAATTTTGTAGATAAAGACAGAAAACATAAGAACAAGAAAGACATTGGTTCCAACTAAAACCCACAGGCCACAGCTATAGCTAGGGTCTGCCCTCATTAGCTTAATTTGAAATTCTTTTCTTAGCAACAAGTTGGTCTATTTCAATTTTGTCAAATGAAAAAACCCCAAATTTTCCTTATCAAGACAAAAAATTATTGATCACATACAAGCTTTGTACAAAATTTTATTAGTGCTTCAAAATTCTTCAAGATTGCCTACTTAATTTAATTACACGAATCGTGATTCATGACATTGATTTAATTATATATATATATATATGTGTGGTTGATAATTAAAAATTTTGAATTAAAAATTTTTATATTTAATTATATGACATTGATTTTTAGAGTTTCACATTCTTGTACATGGAATCAAAACTTTGTAATTAGGGTTATGATTGATAAAAATAAGACTCGATGACTTTCTTTTTTTTTTTTTAATTTTTTAAACAAAGTCATAATGAAAATTTTCATCATTATACAAAATAATTACTACAATCATGATACATCAAACACATTGCAGCTTAGGCCCCAATTAAATACCATATAATTATTATGTCGAACTGTGGGTGGAAAAAAGAAAATGATGCTTCTTCTAAAAACCTAGACCAATGAACTTTACGGTGGCCCAAAAATAAAATAATTAATTTCAAATTGAAGGAGCCAACAACTACTTTACAAAGAGGCTGAGATTATCACCTCCCCCATTAACAAACTAATAGACTTTTCTTTTCTTTTTTTTTTTTTTTTAGGCTGGAGATTATCACCTCCCCCATTAAACAAACTTAATAGACTTTTCTTTTCTTTTTTTTTTTTTTTTTAAAATTTTCCATTCATTATTTCTTTTCTTTTTTTTTTTTTTTTAAATTTCCATTCATATCAATTTCCGTTGATAATAATTTTTATTTATTAATTTGTAATACTAAAAATTAATAAGTATCTATCGTAAACATTCTTATACAAAGCATATAATAGGAATATCCATTACTAGAATTATATTTTAATATAGCTTATATATAATAATCAACCATAAAGGATAAAACCCACTAATCTTAAATGCTTTAACAAACAAATGTAAGGTTAACATTAACCTAATTGAAACAGTGTTTATCTATATATGAATAGGATATAATTTATTCCACAATTGTAATAGAAAAGGAGAGGAAGAGGAAATAAGGTCAGCTTTAGTGGCACCACATAAATCAAAGACAAGGACCTACTGTATAAGTGCTTATGTTAGCCACTGACCTAGACATCCACCAAAGACAAACATTTCCCTGTTTTTTTAATTCTTTCCACCTTGCATTACGTTTATATATATTACCTCTTCTTGAATCTCTGATGTTATTATCGCCATTCACGAAAAATACTTTCTTGATACATATATTTTCTTGCATTTTCATTTCTTTCTTTGTTTTCTTCTTCCAATAGATCATTTTGAATCAACCATGTCGAAGATTTATCCAGGTGAAGATCATCATGTGGTGGTGAAAGAGTTTAAAGAAGATAACAAACAAAAACGATACCGAAGTACTGATAGTCCATGTACTCTTACAGTATGGAAGAGATCTAGCATGAGTTTTCAAGGAACTGATGGATTTACTGTTTTTGATACAAATGGAAAATTGGCTTTTAGGGTTGATAATTATTCAAGGAAGAATCGTTGTGTAGGAGGTGGTCTTGTTCTTATGGATGGAGTTGGCAATGCTTTGCTTACTTTGAAACCTCAGGTAGTTACATGTTTATTTCATTACTTATAATTCTTTCTTAATCTTTATGCATATATGAATCTTAACCATGAGTATCTACGTTCATGTATGGCAGATTCTGAGTATGCAATATCAGTGGAATGCGTACAGAGGAGAAGATGGGTACAGAAACAATCCAAAGACGAAACTATTCTCAATGAGAAGCACATCGCTGCTTTTTCAAACTGGGAAAGATGTAGCAGAGATCTTCATGGGAGGGATTACAAGACAAGGTCAGATTCCAGATTTTAGAATCGAGGGATCATTTAGAGCTCGAGATTGCAAAATCAAGAATACAGAAGGAGAGGTTGTAGCAAAAATGGCTAGAAAAAGAGTTCATACTACAATTTTGCTCAGTGATGATGTTTTTAGCCTCGTCGTACAACCTGATTTTGATACTCAGCTTGTTATGGCTTTTGTAATTATATTAGATCGTATTAGCAATAAGCCTTTTACACCTATTTTCTGTTCTTATTGATCATTGTACAAATATTACCCAGAGGTACATAGACAAAAACAAATTTCTCATTTTTGTCGTTAACTTGCAATTTGTTTTTGTATTCATGTTTAGTTGTTTACAGTTGCATCACATGGCCAATACAATATACATCGAGAAAAACAGCGTTTTATTTTGAAATTTTAATGTTTACATGTTCTAAAGTCTCAAAATAACCACACAGCATAAGAAAGCACTCTCAAGTTGTTTTGAACCAATCCAATCACAGCCACCAAAAAAAGCTGTCTGAAATGTCAAGCAAGTTGAACTTGGAGACTCGATTGTCAATTTGTCATGAAGCGTAAACATTGGATCGCTGATCCACTGGTAAAAGCAATTAAGCAAAGCATACTAATACCTTTATAATCATCTTTTTGGATAAGCGGGAAGAAGGATCATGTCATGTTCACACTCATCAAGCAGAAACTTCGTGTGTTGATAAAAGGTAACCATGCTTTACCAACCAATAACAATAATAAATTTAAAAAATAAAAAAAATACCAAAAAAAAAAAAAAAAAAAAAAAAAAAAAAAAACAAAAAACAAATGCAATTTGGAAAATTGGCTCCAATTATCAAATCTCAAACAAGGAGAAGCCTGCAACTTAGCACCTTGCTTTGTAGCTATGTAGTCAAATCTCACTATTAAATTCTCCATTATTTGTTTCCCACATTAAAATAACATCATTACTTGTTAGAATAATACAAGGTTGTAGAAATGCCGTTTTAAACTGATGATTCTATTTTCATATAATGCCTAACATGGGTTTCCTAATAACCCCATGGATTATGAATTCAAAAAAAAAAAAAAAAAAAAAAAAACAAATGCAATTTGGAAAATGGCTCCAACATCAATCTCAAACAAGGAGAAGCCTGCACTTAGCACCTTGCTTTGTAGCTTGAGTTCAAATCTCACTATTAAATTCTCCATTATTTGTTCCACAGAAATAACATCATACTTGTAGAGATAATACAATGTAGAAATGCGTTTAACTGATGATTCTATTTCTAATAATGCCTACATGGGTTCCTAATAACCCCATGATATGATTCCTTAATTTTGATATTCAAATACCTTGGATTCAATTCCTAGCGTGATCTTACGGAAAAAAAAATGTAGAAATACAAATAAAATTGCCTAACAAGACTAACTCAGCAAACACATGTGCCCATAATGATCGGATTGAAACTACAAACCATAATCCCGTTCTGTTGCACGGAAAATTAGTACAAGTTATTCCGTCAACTCCTAAATAATAAAGCAGTCACCTATTCTTCATGTATGGGCCCGACTCAGCTCAATCACCAGAAATGTAAGTCTTGCCTTCGTAGTACCTTCTCTCACTTTCCGCCTTCTTCTCATTACGTTTCTGTGCAGGGAAGACAATTTCTTATTAGATTGAACCAGAAAAACAGCATGCATTTTAATAGCCGAATACGTAAGTTTACTGTTGAATTTTACAACTTCAATCTTATGGCACCCTGAACGTTAAGAATGGCCTATTGCACATTTGAACTTTTAAATTTTAGTAATGTTGTACACCTTTCTACACTAACAATGATAGTTTGTTTTTGGATTTTACATGCAAAATATAGTTTTGATGTGTAGTTAGCATAACTTTTGAAACAATAACTTTTATATTTTCCAACTACTTAATAAGTGTTTAATTAATTTAATTTTGCAAGTTAACTATTCAATAAAATGACTTTGCAAGTAAGTGTTTGATAGATATAATTTTATAACTTAAAAGTATCTGATGGATCCAGTTAAACTCAGATTGTCATAAGGTTAAATTAAGAAAGTTCAAGGATGAATTTATCTAATATTTTCCATTTTAATACAAGATCATCTTTATCCTCATAGCTCGAACCTAATTAATTAAAAGATCAAATTAACCAAGAAAATGCAAACCTCCTGTAAACATAGGTGCTTCAATTTCTATTAATTATTTTACTATTAATCATTTTATATTTGTTATAGGTGATATTAGTTTAACCACTATGTTGCACAAGGACAGAGTCTAGAGGAAACCTGGTAAGCTTCATGATTCGCTACAATCCTCCTAATTATCGTGGTAGTTGTAATATCCAATGGGCTTTCCAAAACTTTGAAGATACCCATACTGATTGGAACAGCATATGGATTGCATTTTTCCTGTAAGATTGAATGACATGTCAGTCAACAATTGGTTGATCATGTATATTCACCACAAAGTAGGAATAGCCAAGTATTTGTAATTTACCTCTGCGTAGTCGATGTTTTCAGCTACTGTTCCATGTACTACCAAAGAGATGTTAAAGGTTGTTATCTGCAGCCACAAAAAATTTCCAAGTAAAAGTTTTATCCGAAAATTTATGCATACTGCATATCCACCCAATCTTTAGTGCAAAATGAGTAAAGTTGACTTTTCTCAAATAGAGTAAATACAACCATCGAATACAATAACCACGACAAATGAAACAACAAAGTATAAGTTACCAGGGTTTTGCATCTCACACAATTAATTACAGCATAGTAAAAATTTGCTTCTGTCTTATTCACCTAGATGTAACAAATCAAAGCACTTCTAGGAGTTGTTTTGCAATCATCCACATAAGGTTATTACAGAGAAAGTATGTCGGTGTGATTCCACTTTAAAAATCATATGGTCGATTGTTGAAGTCCTAAGGCTGGAAAATACAAAAACATCGATCCAGACTTAATAGCGGCCAGAACAAGCTATAATGTTTGCGACAGTACTTTATATGGATCATTATCCCTTTTCAGCAGTTGGGGAAGGGTTGCTGGTTGAATATATCAAACAAATGGACTCCAGTCCTCACACCACCCTTCTGTTCCAAATCCATTTCCTTGGATTCAGCAAAAAAATGTTCCACATAAAAGAAAACTTAGCGCAATCATGTGACTATCTCTCTAATGATACCCATATCACAATATAATTTGATGCTGTTCTTGCAACTGTTGGTTAGAAAGCACCAGCCTCTTCAATGGTGTGATTAAGATCAATTTTTTGCTTTTAAGGTGCATTTTTTATGATGTTTTGGCCATAAAATTCCAAAAAACTCAAAACAGTTTCAAACTGCTTTTTGCAAAAGCATGTAACAAGGTGCAAGATTCTTCCAAAGAGCATAGTAAAAAGCAGCACTAAATAGACCCATAAAATTCCATATAAGAAATAATCTAATATGGTAAGCCAGTTAGTTTAGCTGTTGACATCTCTTATCAATTAGTACAATGACCTAGGACCAAATCCTGCTCACACGTCTTTTTTCCAAGTGTAAATGGGGAATGGAACACCACTACAAAAAGAAAACACTAGAATACTAGAGGCAATGATAAATTAGCAGCATACTAACCATGTCTTTAGAAACTTCCCATGGAGCACCAATTATCACCTCATCCACATATCGACAAGCCAAAACACTCAAACTTCTTTCATGAAGATTCATAATAGGGCGATGAGCTCCTCTTTTAGCACTGCAAAACCAGTTTAGCAACAGAAATTTAGAAATTACTTGAACTTCTACTTAGTGTACTAGCTTTGGAGGGTTTCCACAAAAGATGTCAACATTGTCTACTATCAAATTATTAATAATACTATTCATGCTTCACATGAAAATAAATAAAAATAGGAGACAGAACTTAAAATATGCAATCCATTGAGCATGAGGTCATCCAAAGCTTTTTTTATCATAGACTCACTGTTTACACCTATGATCTAAGGAACGATATGGTTTTGGTAGAGAATTTATTAATGGGAATAGGAGTTTATATCCTCAAAAGAATTTTAACAACCTTGAGGCTTACTGTTCGACTGCACATAACTCAGCAAGCATATCGAAATCAAGTTTTCTCAAGAAAGCCCCAACTCAACAGTAGGGAACAGGCTTCAACACAAACAAAATGTAACGAATCTTAATTCATAAGAGAGATTTCACCTTGAGGCTTGATCTCAAAAAAAGTCAAATAAAGCTTTACTAGAGATAGGAAGCAAAGAATCCAGTGAAGATAGAGAAAACTTGTGCAGAAAAATCAAACTTGTAAGTTGGAGGACAAAAGTCAGCTTGCCAAAAAGATGATCACATCTTTTACTGCCATTGGATCTGATTGCAACATACTAGTAATATTTGCAGTTAAAAAGAAATATAAAACAATAGTGGTTACAAAATAAGAATGCAATGGGACAGGGCTGGATAGGTTTTGCAACTCGTCCTCGCCCCATTAAGAATCAATGTAGATGAGAATCCAAGTTACTTTTTTTATATGAATTTATATTATTAAAAAGCCACATTTTTACATATTGTTATGAAATATATATGCAGATGTATCAAATTTTGAATGATTCTTGTGTATATTAAGAATGAAAATAATATCATTGTGTAATAATTAATATAATTTTAAAGATTACAAAGTTTTTGAAAAGAAGTCAAAATTATAATATAAAAGCAAATTCTTTAGGTTGAGAGAAAAATGGGGAACAAAGGGACAACCTAAACCAATCTGCACCCTGCTACATTGTTAAGTTGGCAGGGGCAATGACCATGTCCCTTGCAAAATTGAAGCATAATGCAGCGGGAGGGACATGCACACAAAATCAAATTGAGAGGCTCAATTATCCAAGAAGTGCATATAAACTCATGCCTAGAATAACACTGTTTACACTTTTCACCATCTTCTCAACCCCAATGATTGACATTCCTTGTATAATGGTGACAAGATTCCCCAAAGCCTACACTATAGTTATTTATGCAACATCCCAATCTTGACCTACCAAGTAGATGAAAGAATAAACCAACTTATAGTCAACTTCTAGTGTGTGAATTACAATGAAAGTGAACAATGTAGATTTCAAGAAAGCACACACTTGCTCAAGTAGGGAAACTGGAGTTAAAAAGATAAGACGATAGGAATAGAATACCTGACAGTCTGATCATTGTGTATTCCAACAAGAAGGAAATCTCCAAGCCCTCGAGCAACCCTCAGGATCTGAACAACAAACAAACGGTTATAACACACAGAGGTCCACACAAACTGCTTCAACTCTACAAAGCCTTAATTATAAATCAATTGCAATATCCGGTACCAGAAATAAAAAATTTTCCTCCCTGTTTATAACCACGTCTTTTCAAGTCTTCCTCTTTTGTTATTGCTTTCTAGGGTTCCTTTTCATTAAATACAGTTTTTAATAAGCCTGTTAGAAGTTAGAAATGTATTCAGATTTTCTGTCACTCATGTTATTTGCATGTTTTGAGTTTACTTGATCCAACCACAGCCTAGAAGTTGACCTTCCCACTTTTCATCTTCAGTGGGTGTCGCTTCTCATTCATACTTGATTCCATGCTTTCATATGTCATTCAGCTATCAAGACATCCTGGCCTTGCTAAAAACACCATTGAACATATCATTCCTCCATCACTCAACAATGTACTCCACTGATAAGAACTTGCCTTGTCATAATCTTAAATGCTTTTCTCCTAAATCCATGGATACTGCTAGATCACATTCAGGTGCACATTCCCATTGCATTTAACTTTTTTAACTGTTCATGCAAGATTGTTATCAACATCACCCTTCTTTTTGAATTACTAGTCTTATATATAAATGCTGATCATTGGATGTATCTGTTACGGTCCTTTTTGCTACTCCATCCTTCACTATGGCGATTACCTTGCATCCATACACTTGTTTTAGTTCTACTTCTATCTAATCCATAAATTCGGTCCAAAGTATCCCTTCATAAGTCTAAGTAGAAATCCTCCCCTAGTATTATTTCAATTGCAGAACCTATGACTGATCAGGTGCCAGAAATACATGGAACCTCACGTAAAATAAGTCTCACCAATTTACAAACAGTCCACCGCAATGATGGTAAGGAAAACAGGAGGGCCCTATTGCTAGTCTGGTGCAACTAGGTAGTCAATCATCTCTCTCCTCCCATGTTTCTAATACTAGTAATATCATCACGGTGCACAGATGCACATATTACCTCTATCTTCAGCAAAAACAAATAGATAAAAGACACATTTACTTCACAAAATTTAGAGAGAATAACAAACAGAAGATGTTGAAGAGATAGAAGGGGGGCTGGGGTGTATGTAAGTGCAAAAAGGATAAATAACAGTAATAGGAATCAGAGGTAGCTAAATACACCAAATAGACTAAAGACAACAAGGAGTAATGACAATTTAGTTACAACATACTAAACCAAAGTTGAACCAACCTAAAAACTTGGGAATTGAGAGTAACCAGAAATAATTTATTTTTAAACTTTAAAAAACTAAAAATAAAATAAAAATAACATGTTACTTAAGCATCTAGCCACCAATTCCTACAGTTTCTATCATGGAATATTTTCACAGCATAAAGAAGCTTAGTCTTCCAATAGATGAAGAAAGAAAATGCAAATCGTTCTTGTCAGACACATGGACAGTCATTAGTGTGCAGCAAAACTAAAAAAAAACAAATGTCAATCCTAGCTGGCACCAAAAACAGGGGACTGCATTTGAATGAGAGGAAAAAAAAAAGGGAGCCAATCCAGACAATATACCTCAACGTGTCCAGCATGGAAAAGATCAAAAGCACCATCAATATAAATTATGCGAGCATCCGGACCTGGGCCCTGCAAACACAGGTGTAAAAGCTCCATTGAGAACTGACAAGGTAAACAATGTTTGCCAAAACAGATTCATTTATAAAAGTGAAAACCCACAGTGAGGTCCAACTAGATATCACTTTGTGTTGTGTAATTTAGTGCAGCAACAGCCAGTACAGTATAATAATCAAATAAACACGCTAAATAGCAATAAAATTTTATGAAAAAAATTTTGCAAATAGAGCTTACCTTGCCGTTGGAGAATTGAACAATTCTTCGGGAAGTGGGAAGAAAATGAGAAACCCGAGTTCCAGTTCCAGTTGCAGATCCACCATCTTCCACTTTCTGACCATGGCCATGACTAAACTGTCTTTGCAAAGATGAATGATTGTGACTCTCACTAATTGATCTCTCTCGCGTACAAAGTAGCATACGACCTATTAATTTCATATAATTAATACAATAATTCCTCAATTATACCATTCAAATTAGTCATACAACCTCTCAAAAGAAACCAAACCAACCAATAAAAACAACAATACCAACGATGTCGGTGCTTGAAACTCCTTCAGTGCGCTTAATCTGCTTGTAGCGACCTGCCTTCTTAGCAAGCGCATAGGCATCAGTTCCATCAGGAAGAACACAAGGATCATCTCCATGGATTATATAATCAATATTATATTCTTCGAATAGCTTCTTCATGAACTCTTCCGTTATTGCATACGGCGCATCTGGAATAACCTCATGCACCCACTTAATGGCGTTAACCATAATCATCCTCTCATGTATAGGAGTCACAGGCGGGCCTTTATTCGCTATGATTTCAGCGTCGCTTACTACGCCGACCACCAACTCATCGCCCAAAGCACGCGCCTGCCGAAGAGCGTTACAGTGACCGTAGTGCATCATGTCAAAACAACCGTCCATGTAAACGCGTATCTTCTTCTTCTTCTTCCTCATCCTTCTCCACGGATTCAATTCTCCGGTTCTCAAATATAAACCTAATAGAGAAACTCCGACCGCCACCACCAGCCACGTCGCCATCTTTGCCTTTTCCGATTGTCCGCCGATAGCGTCGGAAGCCATTGCGTAGGAGATTTTTAAATTGCTATGAAAATTGGAATTTGCAAATGCGGCTTTATATTCTGTCTAATGGCTACTGCATCTTCTTTTGGACAATTCACACTCAACCCAACAGATTTGTCTTGCCCTCCACACCTGTCGCCCTCTATAGCCTTCCTTTTTGTGTTTCTTTTCTTTTCGAGAGGCGGTCTAGGGCTTCCTTCACGAATACTTGTGATTCTAACTCGTATCCCCTCTCTCTTTCATATGTCAGTATCTGAAGATTTGATTTTTCGAATTTGGAATTGTTTTTTAAACTTGTTAAATTATTTTATAGTATAATTTAAGAAGTGTATATTGGATTAATAATCTATTAAATTTTAAATGATTAGACTCAATTTAGGGTTGTTTAGTGTATTAAAATTCAGTGGCATTCAATTTCGACTTTTATAAAATTTATAAAAATAATTATGATCTTTTAAAAGTCTATATAAATCTAATGATAGTCAAAAAAATTACTGATTTGAATTAATCTTATAAAATTATTGATTTCGTTGGATTTTAGAGTTATAGGTATAAATAGAAAAATCATTCATAAATCTATCCTAAAACCCAAAAATTTCATTGGATTTTAGAATGTTAGGTATATTTTTTTATTCTCGTTTTAAATTAAAAAAATTATATTTAAACATGCGATTTTCTGGCGAGACGGTCACTGAGGGGGTGCAAACTTATCAACCGAACTGAATAAAAAATCGAATCAATTCATTTCGATTTGGTTCGGTCAGCTAAATCAATAAAGGTTCGGTTGTTGGTTTGTTCGATTTGAAACAAATTTATTAGTACGTTTGAGTCAATTTCATAGAATTCTATCGGTTGGACTTAAAACCAAATTGAAATGGCAAATTGATCGAATTGACTAGTTCAGTTTGATTCAGTTCATAAGGTAAATTCGGTTCGATTCAATTTGTTAATAAAAAAATACCAATCATATGTTTTTATCTCGATTTGGTTCAGTTTGAACCAAACCGACCGTTTGCTCATGCGCGACCATTCTAGAGTCGTGGAATGGCTAGCGGTGATGCTGGCAATTATAGGCTTTTACTATTCACGGTGATAAGATTTTTAGAAGAATAAAATAATTTTAGAGAAGATGATGCGTTTTTTGGTTATTCATTGTTTTTCGGTTTTTCAATTTGGCTAAAAAATCTTTTAATTTATTCATTTAGGTCTTGAAATTAATTTTGATTAGATACAAAAAAATAATTGTAATTCTATTAAAGTCAATCAAAATCTATAAAAAAATCTTATCAATTTTATAAAACTCTATATAGAATTTTAGTGAAATTTATGGAAATCTTAAAAAATCCTTCAATTCCATCGATCTCAAACTATTCTTTTAAAATATAACACAATCTTAATCCAATACCCCCTAAAATATTTGACAGTAAATACAAAATTTATTTTTACTTTATTATGAATACTTTATAGATTGAGATTTTCATTTTTGGAACTTAAGTATAAATAAAGTATAAATATTTAATTATTTATATTTATATTCTTAATTCTAATATAGTTTGTTTGTCTATCTCAAATCTTAAAGAATTTTTATCCTTTGATAGTTTTATTAAGTAAAATTTTCTTTAATCATGTTATTATTATTCGTTTATTGTCTACATTTATTTATAAAATATTAAGTAATATAGCATCAAATTAGAATATCAATTTGTTTCCATGTGAAAAAAGGGAAGATAGTGCAGAATAAATTAAATGATCTATTACTAATATTATTAATTTATAATTTTAAATTTATTTTTTAAATAATAATGCTTATCAAATAAACCTATCATTATATGTTGTGGATTTATTTAAATATTATGATTTTCTAACTAAATCTATCTCAATGATTTAATATTTTTCTTTTTAAAAAATATATCCGATCAAATCATAAAAATATAAATATATATATGATTAAAATAAAAAGAATATATTTTAATTGCGCCTGGTACATACAAAAAAAAGTACCCACAGGAGTTCCTTATAAATTACCCTAACCAATAAATTAACTCAATAAACTCTCGTAAATTACCATACACCGTAGAGTATTGCTATTCTTCGGTTGTGGCTTCGATAACTTACTTCTCTTTGGGCTGACTTCTCCATAATGTTCTGAACCTACATTGTGATAGGCCTGTGCGACCCTAGTCCGGGCTTCTTTATCGGTTAGGTCATTATAGAGCCCTATATGGGCCAATCAGTATACCAATTCAAGTGAAGTAACACAAGGTATCAATCTCACATGCGATTATATAATCATATTAGGGTATCCTTCGTGAATAGCGGGTTTCTTCATGAACTCTTCCGTTATTTGGCGATACGGTCAGCATCTTGTAAGTGAACCTCAAGTGCACAAACTCCACTTAAATGGCCGATTATAGACCCGCAATTAGAGTCAATTCATGAAATATAGAGAGTCAACAGGGCGGGCCTTTGTGATGTTCGCTACTGAGTTTCAGCGTCGCTCCTACTACCGACCGAAATCTACCAACGGGATCATCGGCCCAATAAGACACGCGCCTTTGTGCGAAAGTAGCGGTTACGGCGGTTGATCCCGTAGTAGACGCATCATGTCAAAAACAAACGTCAAATTGTAAACGCGGTATCTTGGTCTCTTCTTCTTCCTACATCCTTCTCCACGGATTTCATTCTTCCGTCGTTTCTCCTAAATATAAACCTTAATAGGAGAAACTCCGACCGCCACCACCAGCCACGTGTCGGGGCCATCTGCCTTTTCGGATTGGTAGTCCGCCGATAGAGCGTCGGAAGCCATGCAGGTAGGAGATTTTTTATATAGAAATTGCTAATGATAAATATGGGACATTTGCAAAAATGCGGCTTTATGAGGGTATTCTGTCTAATGGTACTGCATCGTGTTCGTTGTGGTCACAATTTCACACTCAAACCAACAATTTGTCTTGGCTCCTCCACAGCCTGTCGCCTTCTATAATAGACTCTTCCCTTTTTTGTGTTTGTCTTTCTCTCTTTTCGAGATGGCGGTCTTTAGGGCTTCCTTCAACGATCATACTTGTGTATTATCTAACTGCGGTATCTCCCCATTCATTCTTTTCTACTCATGTCAGCAGTATTCTGAAGATTTGATTAATATTCGAATTTTTGGAATTGTTTTTTAAACTTGTTAAATCTTATTCCCATGGATAAAGTCACTCTAACTTTAAGGAAGTGTTATATTGGATTCAAATTAATTATTTAAATTTTATATAATGATTAAAGACTTCCAATTTAGGGTGTTTAGTTCCTCGTAATTAAAATTTCAGGGCATTAATTGCCGGAGTGGCAAGGTTCAATTCGACTTTATCAAATTTTATAAAAATAATTATGATCTTTTAACATATCCTATATTAACAATTCTAATTGATTAGTCCAAAGAGAGACAAACCATTTAAAATTGATTTTAGATTTTTGACACTCCTAAGTTATCTACAGGAGTTCAGATTCTGCCACTAGGTTGCGTTAGAGAAGACTCTCTTTAGTTAGTGTCATAAAATAAGAAGAAATAGTTTTCACCAATTAGATTATGAGGAATCAGGTTCACTTCACTAACACCTCTATAACACATAAAAACACAAAAAACTTTTCATTTTTGGAATTTTAGAATGTTAGGTTATAGTTTTATTTCTCGTGGGTGGGTTTAATTTAAAAAAATATATATCTTAAACATGCGATTTAATCTGCAGAGACGTCACTGAAGAAGGAGCGTGCATTAGAACATTAAAAATCAAATGTCCCAGAAATAAAGTCTTCGCCAATAAATATAAACACCTGATAATCATATTTAACAGGTAATCGATTTGGTTCGGTCAGCTTTAATATCAATAAGAGGTTTCGTATACAAGGTTGTTGGTTTGTCGCATATTCCTCAACTTGAAACACAAAAATTTGTATTTGTTTAAAGTAGCATTTTTCTTTGAGCTCATAACACATTATCAGTAGCTAAAGTTTAGGAGATGATCAATATCGAAGTGTTGGGAGCTAGGTATAATAACATTTCCAAAAATTAGGAAAAATGGCAAATGATCGAAATTGACTAGTTCAGTTTGATTTCCAGTTCATTAATGGTAAATTCGCGTTCGAGTATTGTAGGCAATAGAATTATGCCAGATTAAATTAATAAGAGGAAATAATACCAATCATATGTTAATAATCCGGTAATTCCTCGGATCTCTTTCCGGCTTCCAGTGGTGAAACCAAACGGACCGGGTAATTGCTCATGCGCGACCATTCTAGTTAGTCGTGGTGGAATGGCGGTAGCGGGTGATGCTGGCAAATATAGGCTTTTACTAGAATAAATACACGGTTTTGATTTAAGATTTTAAATTAGAAGAAAAATTAAAATAATATTTTATGAGAAAGATTGATGCCGTATTTCGTTTCTGGTTATTCGATTGTTTCTTTGACGCTCGTACTGTGAGGTGGTTCTTTCCAAACTTTGGCTAAAAAATCTTTTAATTTATATATCATTTAGGGTTCTATGTGATAAATTTAATTTTGATTTAGATACAAAAAAAAAATAATTGTAAGATTCTCATTAAAGTACAAATTCAAAATCTATAAAAAAATCTTATCAAAATTTTTATAAACGGTCTATATAGAATTTTTAGTGAAAAGTTTATGGAAAGTCTTAAAATAATCCTTCAATTCCATCGATCTCAAACTTTATTTCTTTTAAAAATCTAATAAAACACAATTCTTAATAACCAATAAACCCGCTAAACCGCATAATTTGAGCTCTAGTGTAAAATAAACAAAAAGAAATTTGATTTTTACCTTTATTATGAAATGAGGCTTTATAGATTGAGATTTATTCATTTTTGGAACTTAAGTATAAATTAAAGTATAAATATTTAATTATTTATATATTTATTACTTCCTTTAATTCTAATATAGTTTGTTTGTTTCTATCTCACACATCTTTAAAAGAATTTTTATTCCTGTTGAAGTTCTTATATAAGTAAAGATTTTCTTTTAATCATGTTACTCTTATTATTCGTTTGGTATTCGTCTACATTTATATAAAATATTAGTAACTATAGCTTAATCAAATTAGAACTACAAATCTTGTATATCCATGTGACAAAAAGGAAGATAGTGCAGAATTAAATTAATTGAGGTCTATTTACTAATATTATTAATTTATAGATATACCTTGAAAATATTGGTATTATTTTTTAAATCCAATTAATGACATTATCAATATCGAAACCTTAAAGGATCGATTATACATATGTTTGTGGATCATTCTTCCCATTTAATAATAATATGAATTTTTGCTAACTTAAATCTATCTTCAATGATTTAATATTTTTCTTTTTTAAAAATATTTTATCGATCAAATCATTAAAAAATATAAATATATTATATGATATAAAATAAAAAGAATATATATTAAAATAAAAAGAATATATTTTTCCTTATCTTTCCAAATAATACATTTTAAATTATAATTAAATAATAAAATTAAATATCTACAAAATAAATTTAAAAATTTTCAAATTAAAATACGTCATCATCCTATATATTTATTTTCAAAATAAATTTTAAAAATAAAATTTAGAAATTTTATAAAGTTTAATTATCTATACATATCTATATATTTACAAAAAAAAAAATAAATAAATAAACCATACCCAATCAATCTAAGGATAGTACTTGCCTACAGTTAATCAATGATTGATTCATGCACAAAACTAATTCATAAAGAGATTTTTTAAATTATTGCTATTCTATCATTTTTTTTCTCTTAAATTAAAAAAAAACATTCATTTTAATAAAAAAATATATATGTAATTAACTCAAACACGAGTGTAGGTGAGCCCTCCCCTCAGTTCAAATAAATAATAAAAAAAAATAATAATTTATTTCTTTCTGGAGTTTATATTTTATAGATCTACTTGATAGAGTCATAAATTGGTTGTGTGGAGTCGTTGTGTGTTACATGGCCCTTTTGGTGTTGTGTGTGTTTTCACTGTTTTTAGGATTTATGTGTTGTTTAGAGCTCCATTTATTTATTTATTTAATGTTACTGGATTTTTTTTTTTTTTTGTGAGGAGTTACTAGACGTTTTAATTATTTAGATTATAATTTATTTGTATATAAATTAGTGAAACATTTTTATAAACTCTATACAGTATATAAATGTGGGAATAAGAAAATAACGAAATTTTTGATATTACCCTTGATGAAATTTATAATATGCTAAAATAATATTAGTTACAATTAGAAAATTACATTTTATTATTTGATTGGATACATTTATAGAAATTATTTTTTAAATAAATATCTTAGAAAATTATATTTTATTAGTTTATTTGATATATTTATAGAAATTATTTTGTAAATAAATACATATAGATAATTAAGCATTTCATAATTTTAAGTTTTATCCCATTTAAATTTATTTTTAATAAATATATATATGATAAGGAGACATTTGAATTTTTTTATATATTATTTTTTGAATATTTGGTTATATAAAATTTAAAATATTTTATTTTGTATAAAAATAAAAAAAATCTTTTATTTGATATTTTTTTTCTTTATATTTGTATGATTTGATTGGATATATTTTTTAAAAATTTATTTAGAAGAGAGATAAAAAAAGAATATAAAATGCTAATATATTTTGTATTTTGTTATTTAAAGGAATTAAAAAAACTGCCTTCTTATTTGATAGTTCTTTTTTCATTTTTAATCATTTTAGTCCTAGTGATTTAGATTGGATATATTATTTTTTAAAAATTATTTAGGAGAGAGAGATAACCAAAAAAAAGAGAAAAAAAAAATATACTCGGGTAATATATTTTGTGTATCTCCCGAAGTACTGTGTATGTATTTATGTTTGTGGAGTGACTCTTGATGGTGGATTGTGGTGTTGGATGCTTTTTTAAGACACAATAAAATCATTCACTACTCTATTTCAACCTTTAACAAGGTACTCTTAAAGTTTTTTACTTTTCAGAATTTTATATTTTAAATAAGAATGAACATTATGTGCTTTGCAGATGAGTATTGAACGGACAATGTAGTAATTTTATTTGAGGTATACATTTAATAAATCTTCAGTTCCATCATATAGTATATATTATTTAATATATATATATTTTTATATATGTAGAGGTTCAGGACCCACCCGCCGAGGAGGATATTTTATTTATGGTCAAATATTATAATTCTCAATTTTATTTTTTCGTTACTAAATAATTTTATCTGAGGTGCGACTATTTACTCATTTTTACTAATTTGCGTCAAGACACCCATTTAAAAGTATCCAATGCTACATAAATTAAAAAAATGGTCTATTTAGTACCTGGCCTCCGAATTATAAGCATTTTTTAATTATTTTCATTGATATATATATTTTTATTATGTGAGTTCAGAAGAGAATTTTATTTTCAATAATAATTTTTTTTCGTTACTAAATAATTTGTGACTATTACATTTTAATTTGGTAAGAAATTTATATCTCATTTGCAATAAATAAATGGTTATTTGATGATTAAGCATTTTTAATTTTCTTGATATTTTTTCTCTTATATCTTATATCTTTGACTTGAAAGAAAATAATGTTTAGGAAATTGGAAAAAAAAACTAGAACTATACATTTCTGTTTTGGATCACTTTTTTGGGTTTTAAGAATTTATATATATGTGCATATAATTTTTCTTTAATAGACTGGATAAGTAATACTGTAGCCAAAATGATTACATTATCAATTCGATTACATTATCGATTCAGTTTTGAAACCAATTCATTATATAAAAATAGAACTAAGTATATAAGAAATATCACTACAAGTAGCTTGTATAGTAAAATGTAATACAAATTAACCACTTATATTTATTTTAATCTACATAAAAAATCATGTTTTAATATTATGTATATAAAAAACTAAAAAAATACAAAAAATAAATGTATAACGAGCATAGTCAATATGCATGTCATGACCAGTAAGTTATTAAACATTTTAGGCTTTTTTTTTTTTTTTTTAATGTGGATTAAGACTAGTCAATGAAGTATTCTTGAATATTTTGGCCAACCTAAAAGTTTGACATGAAAATGTAAAGCCTAACTGGTTTATGTTGGTGTGACAAAATCAATATTTCTATTCGTCTTCAATTTGTTTTTTGTACAACATATAGATGTTTTACTTGTAAGTAACACTTTGATTTAACATTTATAATTGATAGAGACTTTTAAATTTTTCTAGATAAATATTATTAAAAATAATTTTTTAAAAATATTAAACACTCACATCAAACACTAATTAAATAAACTAATTAAATAATATTTTTAGCAACAATTATAAAAAAACATATGATTTGTTACTTAAACAAATTTTGAATATTTATCGATCAGTATTATCGGATCGTTCTTTTGAAGTGCATAAATTTATTAGCAAAAAGTAAATAAATAAATTTATTTAACAGGCTTTTTATATTTCATGTGCAAAGTTATATAAGTTTAAAATAAATAATTTAGTTTAACAGCTTTTATATACTATTCAGTGCAAAGTAAGTATATATATTATTACCTAAATTATATATAATATAATATTATTATTATAGTAGTCTATACTTATGAGATTTTATGAAATATACCCTACTTTATTATTTTATTTGGATCTTAAGAGTCTGAGTTGTAAATTATAAGTTATTAGATATATATAGTTATACTTATGAGTTTATGTTTACTTATATTTATTTATTTAATGAGTTTGATGATAATTATTAGAGTTTTATTTTTGAGTTAATTTATATCATTTATACATAAATTATTATTTTAATATTTTACATTTATTTATAAAAGAAAACAACTCCAATATGACATTTCATTTAAGGAAACAACAAAACAGTATGTGGCAATTTCATGGACGAAGACGGTACATAAATCGCAGATGCTAAGCCAATTCTCCATTGATACACTTTTTAGATCAGATTTCGGTTAGTTTTTTTTTTTTTTTTTTTTTTTTTTTTGTAGGTATTAGTTTAATGAAGAAATTGAAGGAAAAGAAAAGAAAAAAATAGAAAAATAATTAAAAGAGAAGAAACGAGGTTTTTTTTTTTTTTTTTTTTTTGTTATATTAGTTAATGAGAATTGAAAAGAAAAAAAAAAAGAAAAATAATTAAAGAGAGAACGAAAAAAGAAAGAAGAAAAAAGAAAAAAAAAGGATAATAGAAAGTAGAAACGAAAGAAAAGGAATATGCTGTGCGCGTACGCATGACGGTACCGTAAAATGTTGATCATAAATTTGCGCAGCCGTAACATAGCGTGGACTTGAATTCCACTGGAATTGAAATTCGTCTTCTACAAGCCATTAAGAATTTGATTTGAGAAATTTGAACTTTTGATCCGTCGAGAAATCTCAAATCGTCGAATCGTACACATTAAACACTGAAAATATGGCATCAATGGACGGTCTTGTGCCTATAACCAGGCAATTCCTCGCTTCTTACTATGATAGATATCCTTTTCCGCCTCTCTCCGACGACGTTTCTCGTCTTTCATCTGAGATTCGCTCTATGGCCTCTGATTTAATTAACCACTCCCCTCCCTCACAAGGTTTTTTTTTTTTTTTTTTTTTTTTTTTTTTTTTTTTTTTTTTTTTTTTTTTTTTTTTTTTCCTTTCTGCAATTTCCTTCTTTATTGTTTTATTATTTTTTTGCTCATTACTAAATTGGGATTACTGCAAATGGTAGAGGAGAGATTATTGGTGGAAAGAAGCATGACCGTGATCCTATACATAAAATCGATGAGAATAATGTGGAAAGAATCGAGAAAACACATGGAAGAAATTTTTGTTTTTGGCTTGATCGTTCTTTTTTTTTTTTTTTTTTTTTTTTTTTTTTTCCCTTTCTGCATTTCTTCTTTATTGTTTTATTATTTTTTTGCTCATTACTATTGGGATTACTGCAATGGTAGAGGAGAGATTATTGGTGGAAGAAGCAGACCGTGATCCTATACATAAAATCGATGAGAATATGTGGAAGAATCGAGAACACATGGAAGAAATTTTGTTTTTGCTTGATCGTTCTCGCTGGCCGCAGCAAGTAAGCTTTCACTTAGTATTTTGCTCTTGAAGCATTGAGTTGTTTACTTCATTAAATGCATTTTATGATTACTTGAGCATTTTGGTATGCATTTGTCTTGTCATGACAGATTCGACAACCATCTACACCTGAAGATAGTGAGCTTGCTACTGTTTTTAGCAACATTAGAGACTTGTTTCATAGCACTTTGAAGACACTGGAGTCTTTCCAGGTTAAAAATTCTGAACGTGTATTTAATACAGGTTTGTTCTTTACGTGTATCGCTCTGAACAGAATTGACATCGTTTTATCTGCGTTAGTTTGTTGATTTTCTAGATTCTTTTGTATTTATGCAATTAAATTTTGAAACTCGTTAGTGCATTTTTCTGTTTTATCAATCTCATATGCATAACCCATTTGTGCTTCATTTCATGTAGTATTGTCTATTGGTCATGTTTTTCAGTACTAAGTGTACATGTATTCTCTTTTTACCTTTTTCCTTTCTCGGTTGGTTTTGGTTGGGGCTCATTTTCTTACTTCCCAAGTCTGCAAATGCATTGATTACAGGTGATTCAGGTAGTGTATGCTTTCGTGAATTTAACTTATTGTAATGCCTAGAGGAAAGATGGGGGGAAAAGGAAATTGTCAAATTGGCCTAGGATCTGGGGGAGATCCAAGGGCATCGAAGTTGATTTTGGGAGTGTATCAGAGTGGAATACGATTGACAAATAGGGGCTTGGTGGAGAAAAAAGCTGTTTGTGACTGAGTAAATGCTGGTGAAGAATGGTGGAAAGAAGAATTGCACTTCAAACTAGGGCTTTAAGTATGATTTTGTTTGATGTGTTTGGTCTCAAGTAATGAAGTTATTTCTATAAAGATAATGAAAGAACTCCACATGCAGCAGCAAGTCATACGACGGTCATGATAGGTTATAAAGCGAATAATGATGTCATAATGATATTTGGAGAGAGAAACAGGCCTCAACTGGATGCGTCGACCTTAAACTGGAGTATAATGAACCAGTCACTTCCAATTAGTATCAGAACATTGTTTGTTTATATTTGGGGTTTTATTGGATAATTTTTTCTTTTATGATTGACTGTAAGCACTGCCACACCAGGCTTGGCATATAAGGATAGTAAGTGGTATTTTGCTGTTTATCTAATATTCAAGAGCTATATGTAGAGTTCCATAAATTGGGTTTGGGATATGCTAGGTTTACCTGGCCTGGTTTTTAGTTAGCAATTTGGACCTACAGTTCTTGAATCTGTGCATGTTTATCTCTACATAAGATTGTTGATGGAGATTTTAGACCCTTTATTAATTTGTATGTTTTTAGTGGTAGGCATAGCATATCAATTGGATGTGCTTCTCTACCTGTCATATTTCTTCAGCATTATTTGAGGAGATGAATAATATAGACTATTGCTGGGGTTTGTATTTTCAGTTGACTAAGCTATCTGTGAACATGGTTTCAGTCATGACCTACATGCCTCAAGATTTTCGTGGAACACTTATCAGACAACAAAGGGAGCGATCGGAGAGAAATAAACAAGCAGAGGTTGATGCTTTGGTTAACTCTGGTAGAAGTATACGTGATCGCTATGCTTTGTTGTGGAAACAACAAATGGATAGGTAAGGCACCTTGATTTTCATGGTGGCATTTGTAGCAGATACTATGGTGATTTGATAGTGTACTTGTGATTATCCCCTCAGGAGGAGACAGTTAGCACAGCTTGGTTCTGCAACAGGTGTATACAAAACTCTTGTGAAGTACTTAGTAGGAGTTCCACAGGTATGATCTGTCCTTTTACCTGTGGATTTGACCTTTGTTTCCATGCCTGGATAAGTTGATTGTCATTTCATCCTTAATGATCTAACTACGTCTCATGCAATTAAGCATCAGAGTTCAATGGTTCACAGTTTTGTATGCATTTTTTTTTTTGTTGTTTTTCATTTTCAATCTCCATTATCATCTTGTTTTGGCGAAGGTTAATGTTTTTTACTCGAGTGGCCCCCATCTCGCAAGCAGAATTCATGTGTACTTGTTGTCTCCTCCTGTATTATTCATTATTTGTCTGCATGTATCATGTTTTGGTTGTAGAATTATTAGTGTAGTCTTTCAGTTTTGAAGCTGAGGGTTAATATTTAATGGTGAATCAGTTATTCTGTCTGCATAAATCTAAAGATACATTCAGAATACCTGTTTGGCCTTTGAAAATAATTTAAATGTCAAGTATCAGTATTACATAGTAACTGATATTTTTTTTATCTCACACACTCCATTGCAGGTTTTACTAGATTTTATTCGGACAATAAATGATGATGATGGGTATGCCTTCATGTTTTCTGGAGTTCTTTGCTTTCAAAATATAATACATAGTCATGGTTACTTTAATCTAAATTTCAAGATAGAAATGATCTTGCAGCAGTTGTCTAATCAATAATGTTAAAAAAAAGGTTTAATCTTCTATCATAGGCCCATGGAAGAGCAAAGAAAACGTTACGGACCGACTTTATACAGCCTCACAGCGATGGTCCTTTCAATTCGACTGTTTCTTTCACTATCATGGGGGAGGTTTGAGGCTAGTAAATTGTGAGATATCTTGCCAGACTTTCTTGAGTTTACCAACTTTTGGTCTTAAATTATGTATGGATGAACCAAGTATACTGTCTCAAACCCCTAATATTGTACTCTTATGGTTGCTTTTCTGCCTTCACACCTGCTATATTTAACTAAGCAGAAACAGGGATCAAGTTGCTGTCTTAAAACAAGCTGTTGATGTCTATACTCATGAGTTTGTAAGATTTATCACCTTCCTCAGGTATTGCTTCTGCTTCCTGCATTCACAGTTCCAGTAATTTATTTATTTCTTTTTGATATCATAGGACTTCTTTTAAAACTATTATTGTTGTGGTCATAATTGTTGTTTGCTTGTACAACCTGGATTATGATTAACATTGTTAGTTTACTATTCTGACATTCTGTTGATAAATTTCATCAACCTACAGAAGCATGTCTTCTCAGGACAAATTTTTTTCCTAAACATCAAATGACACTTTTATAAGGTTATTGGAGTTTGAAGGGGAGTTTATCCCCTTGCATAACATATCATGTTTATCAATCTTTGGATAAAAATTGGAAGAATAAGTAACCGGACATGCCTGTACAAATCTATCTCTGTTTCTTAGTGGGTTAGGCCTTCCTGAATTGGGAATCTAGGCCTTGCGAGCAATGCTAAGAACTCCTTAATGGTTTGTGGATAAAACTGGGGTTTAAATCTATTAGGGCCATGTTAGTAGCTGCGAACCAAGAGTAGGGTGCAGGTTTTGTGCGACAAGAGATGATTATCGGATTTAGGATCAAGTTTGATTAATTGATGGAGAACAAGGCTAGAAATGTATTTAGAAACTTGACATTTTGAATATTTACGTTGTTTACGGATGTTTGGCTGCTAGCTATTGTGAACAGTAACAGAATTGGAATTGCTGCTTGATGGAGGGAAAAATAAATGTTTGAGAACGAGTCCTAGGTGAAGTGATGAACTAAAGATTGATTAGATTTGGAAATAAACTGAGAGAGAGAGAGAGAGAGAGAGAGAGAGAGAGAGAGTGAACTGATTTCTGTTTGTTAAAAACTAATATTGCATCGAGTTGCTTGAAAAAGCAAAGATAACAGCATATGAAGAACACAAGAGGAAGACAGCAAATTCTTGGAAGAAGTATAAGTGTGCATTCTTCATAGTCAAAGGTCGTAGAAATAAGAAGATCACGTGGGAAGCTATATAATATTCTATTTCTCATTGTATTAAATTTAATATTGCATGAGGAGGAGAATTCACTAATTAAAAAAAAAAAAGCATCATTGTGTAAAGCAACAGAGTTTCTTCTAACCTAACTCTCAGTGACTGGCTTGTAGAAGTAATAAACAAGGCACTGAAGTTCCTATATGAATCTTGATTTGACTAATTAAACAATCAAATTCTGCCTTGTTGACACATCTAATGTGGACCTTGCACATTATAAAGAAAAGCCATAGTAATTATTTGAAGATGGTTCATTTTCCTTGGATGCATAATATAAGTGACACATTGCTTCATTTGGAGTAAATAAAACATTATCAATTTGAAATTGACCAGTGCATGGCATTCATGTTGCATTTTCTGTTGCTGTGTATACAAGAATCGTGATGATTGCTGTTCAAGGAGAAATTATCTCTCATTTCCTCTATTGATTTGTATTTCTTTTTGCCAGTGAGGTATTTGCAAATTCTCCATTCTTTATTTCAGCAGAAGTTGCTGGCACACTAGATGCAAGGTAAGTTTTCAGAATTTTATAGCAAAATCAGTGCCAGTATTTCAAGTTTGAATTTTTTATTTTATCTCTGCAGAACAAATGATGAATTCAAAGAAATAAGTGTTCCAGCCGGAAAAACTCATGAGGTTTGTGTAAAAGTTTATTTGCATAGATTTATGTTTTAATAATTGAAGATGTTTCATACCTTCTATATGCACACAGGATGTGGCAGTTGTTGCAACTACCTGCATTTGTTCACTTGTTAAATATGAGTTCGTGAAAAAGTGCTTCTTGAAATTTTTTAATACATGTTTAGTCCACTAAAAGTGACATGGGATGTCATGCTCCATTAGATTAGGTCCTCCTCCTTAGCCATCTGATTTTGTATTTTGTATTTGCGTTTCAATTCAACAGGAAGTATCTTATCCAATGAACTTTGTTGTTGGTGAACACATTGGAAGCGCTTAGCATTTTGTAAACTGATAACACAAGACAATCTCACAAATCTTTCATGATATTTAAGTGGGTTAAAAGCATAAACAAGTTGAATATATGGAGGAAGAAATCTGTTTAGAGTTTTGTTGGACTCCTTGGCAATCTGAAGTATTATTCTCCTTTAATTCTGAAATTGGTGCAGAAAAATAATCTGCTTGGTAGATATTCTATGGTCATATTGACAGTTTCTGCAGCCTTATTGTTATTTGTTGGAAGTATATATCTTCAATATTACCTGTTGGATTTTGGTCCTTTTAGAATCTGAGCATGCATGAATATGTAAGAGAGTCCAATGGGAATATTCAAATCTGTATAAAATTCTTCCAGATTGGACCGGGATCAGCTCAGTTATATGTTTTACATAGACATGTATAAATTTTTGCCGCTGATTTTCCCATTGTTGAAGTTCGATATCTGCAGCTACTAATGATGTATGGATATGTTGTGCGCGTTTTTCAAATATTTGACATTCTTAATTGGACTTCCTTTATAGGTTTCATTGGCAGTGGACTCGATAAACTCATACATAGCTTGGGATTTCTCTCTAATACAAGGCAAGATAAATATGGTATTATTCTCAAGCTATTTTCTGGAGCTGAGTTCTTGAACATTATTTAATTTCTCTCTCTTCTGAAACTTCTTTTAGCAGCTGAGTTCTGGAAACCTTTTTTCCCTAAGGCAGGTTGGGGGGGGGGAGAGGAGGGTGAAGGTTGGGGTGTCCTGACAACTAGATTTCTACTGTTGCAATTTTTTAATAGTTATTGTCAAGTGATTTGTTGGATGCTGATTTCTGGAAATTTATTTTCTGTATTTGATCAAACAGGCATTATTTGATCATTCTGTAGGCATTGGATTTTTTTTTTTTTTGACATATTATTAATGAGTGTCTTGATTCTTTTTTTAATCATTCAGGCCTTTTTTTTTTTTTTTTTTAATTTTTTTAAATAGTTATTGTCAAGTGATTTGTTGGATGCTTGATTTCGTGGAAATTTATTTTCTGTATTTGAATCAAACAGGCAATTATTTGATCAATTCTGTAGGCATTGGATTTTTTTTTTTTTTTGACATATTATTCATGAGTGTCTTGATCTTTTTTTTTTAATCCATTCAGGCCTTTTTTTTTTTTTTTTTTTTGGGTTAAAAGAGATGTTTTCAGTGTGAAGATAATTATTGCGTTGAATTCATCCTCATAAAAAATAGCAAAATAAAACGAGACCCAGAAATGGGAGGGTTATGGTTAGATGGAAGGCCTTTTTTTTTTTTTTTTTGGGTTAAAAGAGATGTTTTCAGTGTGAAATATTATTGCGTTGAATTCATCCTCATAAAAAATATGCAAAATAAAACGAGACCCAGAAAGGGAGGGTTATGGTTAGATGGATGACAGGCAACTAAGTTTAAATTGTTAAATTTGACAATGTTGTTGCATTCTTGTATGACCAGTGAAAACAATTGGTTACCTCATTTTTATGGAGAGGAATTTCATTCTTCTGATGTCAATAAAGTTAACTCGGGATTAGTTTGAAGCTTGCTAGTGTTCAGCACCTTGTTTTGGGTGCACATTATTTTCGTGCCCGGTATAATTGCTAAGAACAACATAAAACTAGGCCTGGCATCAAACTGTAGAAAGATGTGTCAAGTATCAAAAGGCTCAATTAAGGTGAAGCCAGCTCTAACAATGATGTCATTGTTGCTTCATACTGATACATAATTTAATGCATTATTTTTTTTTCTTTGGTCTCTGTATCATTAATCATTACACCATTGCTTGTCAGGATATTGGATTTAGTGTGGAGTATGTGGATCCTTCTGGTAAAAAAACTGTAAGTTAAACTTGAAAGAATATACCCTATATGATGTTCTAAATTATTTTCAATTGCACAAAAGTTTTATTCTCTATGCTGCAAAAGATTGTATAGTTTTCTGGTTTTCCCAGTTGATATTGTTGTTTCATTACTGATTAATTCGTTTTTACTCGTATGTACATCTTGCTATGATCCGTTATTCCTCAGCTGATATTACCTTACCAGCGCTATGAGTCCGACCAAGTGAGTTACTGCCATAGAGCTTTTGTGTTATTACCACGTCTCAGAATAGAAAACAATATGCCTAGTCACTTTTGACGGTTCTTACAGGGAAACTTCTGCACAGTTATGGCTGGAAATTACAAGCTCATATGGGATAATTCATATTCATCATTTTTCAAAAAGGTAGAAGTACAAACCTTTCAGATGATTAGCATCGGGTTGGTGTTATATCAACTTGTACTTGTTATGTTGCATTTTCATGCATCTTTTCATTTCATGTCTTCTATTGGAATAGGTCATCCGCTACAAGGTGGACTGCATACCACCAGTTGTGGAACCAATGCAATCCACAAATCAAGTGGAAGGATGAACATAAGCCTCCTTGGTTTTCAAATTATGCTTAATCATTTCCCAATATTCATTTGTACCATTACATTTTTTTTTTTGTAATTTTCATCTTGTGAGGCAGACTTGTAAGTTAGACTTTTAAGTTGATTGGCACTGATGGTTGGCCAAAAGTATAGTAATTGTAACTTGTTTGTATGTTAACTGACAATTATAATCCATTCTTCATACAATTGTAATGGATGCCAGAGCACCATTTGTAACCATATCACATGATGCATGCAATTTGTCTATTTAAGTAATTTCCCCCTCCCTGCCCCCTTCTCTCCAAACTGCTTCGATTTATGAAGAATAACAATTATAACTTTAGGATGAAATACATTTTTTATTTATGCATCAATTGAAGCTTCTAAGTAGAAAATCAATTGCAACAAAAATTGCATATAACACCTTGTTATATCAACTTGTACTTGTTATATACATCATTATATAATGTAACAGGCTTTACTGTTTAAACAAAGTCATATGCCCGCTTTGCAGAATCGAGTGTGTTAGACAGCAACATGGCAATTGTCATGGGTCCAACGCCTCCTGGCACAGGGGTGATGGCAGATGCCACCTTCACTGCTTCTTCATAGCAAACATCTCCCATGAGACGATAGCCAAACTCATTGCCGGGATCCTGCCATCCATATTTAATTTAAAATCTGGAATTATATTTATATCAGTAAAAGTTACCAAATATTTACTAGCACAATTCCACAAAATTGACAAAATCAGTTGATATAGGTTACTTGTTCAGGCCTAGCATAGTTCCTGTATTCCACGGAATGGCAATTTGAATTAAAGAATTTACCTCAACTGGGCAAGTTCCCACATCAATAACAACTGCACCAGGTTTTAACCAGTTGCCGCGGACCAGATTGGGCACTCCAGCAGCAGCAACCACAATATCAGCTTCACTTGTTATCTCCTCTGGATTATTTGTGAATTCATGTACTACGCTAACTGTTGCGTGGTGCCGCTGCAGAGCGTTTAAACAACCTGATGTTAATCAAATAATGGAATTGTTAAATAAAAGAATAATTTAAAAACTAGTTCAATGCCACCTGCAATAACAAGGATGTCGGCAAACCAACAATGTTGCTTCTCCCAATAACCACAGCTTTCTTCCCCATGATTTCTACACCGATCCTGATCAATAACTCAATGCAACCCTTTGGAGTGCATGGGATAAACAATGGTTCTCTTCCTCTCATGGCAAGATTCCCCATATGTAATGGATGGAAGCCATCTACATCTTTTTCCAAACTCAGCACATTCAAAATCTTCTCCTCATTCAGATGCTGTCCCAGACATTTTTTTTAAAGTCATCCATACAACATCAACTTCTCAAATAGTCTTTGCACATGGAACACATCAAGGGGCAAATCTTCTTGCATTTGCAAGGAAATAAGGAATAGAACTATAAATTTGTAAACAAGTCAATAATAGTACTTCAAAAGTGTTTTGAATTTAATTCCAGTTATGGAAATCAGAAATACTGGAATTGGAAAGGCTCGACACATGAAGGCATTAATATATTTTACTTTACGATCAGCAAATTGTAAAGACTAAGATTTATATTTTGGTTATGGAAATTACTCTCGGTAGGGGAAGCTGCACAAGAATACCGTGAATAGATGGATCCTCATTAAAACTTGCAACAGCATTAATAACTGCATCCTCTGGGCAATCCACAGGCAGTTCAGCTAAAAGTGACTTGATTCGAGCTTCTTCACAGGCTTTTATCTTGTTGCGAACATAAGTTTGGGAGTCCCTTCTCTGGCCCACAAGAATAACAGCCAAGCCAGGGACTTTTCCAATGGATTCCTTCATCCTCCTTACTTCAGTAGCTATTGTAGACCTAATTTCCTCTGCTATCAACTTCCCATCTATTACAGTAACATCCTGTTCATTGGCTGTGGTGAAGATCAAAATAAGTTAACCAACCATACCATGCGGCGTGCCACACGTGCATAGAATGTCAATAACTAAGAAACTTCAAATGGGAAATAATCAAGAAAACAAGATAAATCCCCAATTTTGGCATTTATTAACTTTGAAGATTATTGATTTTACTAAACAACAGAACTGGAAAAATACAAGAAACCAAGTATGACATACAATGGCGTTGCAGATTGAGTTACTGACAAACCACTATATGAAAAATGTTAATTAGAGGTTATCAAACTTCATTTTAAGGTGAATTTCACATGTTCTGGTCATAAGAGCTTTAAAATAGCTTAACGCCCACCATCTACAATGGTGGTTGTCAAAGTAGTTTTAATCTCCAACACCTAAAAAACAAATTTCATTGCAGAGTAACACCCAAAATTCAATATCCAGGTTTCAACACAAAGATAGGGAATTCAACCAAATTTGACACCAATTGGATTAAAAAAATCTAATTAAGCTCCTTGTTTAAACAAAATCTCTCATTACAAATTTTCTAACAAAAAAGGGCATTTAAACAAACAAATGGCATGCAATAGTTAGAGCAAAAAAAAGTGAAAGAAACTAGAAAAAGGTTTAGCACTTACCGCACTTCATAAGCGGAGGATCGTGAAAATCATCAGCGACGGGCGTCCAAATCTCAGGTAGATCAAGAGAAACCAGGGATTGAGGAGACTTCAAAATTTGGGTACTAAAATCTCTTCCTATAATTTCTTTCATTTGCCGTGTCATTACCATGCTTCGTCCTATTCTCCTCATAATCGCCATTAGCCCCATATTCTTCTTCCTGCATTAGAATAGTAATCAGTTTCTATTTCAGTTCATCATTGCTTTTTGTTTATACTAATATGTAACTCACCCACTCCTTTTAAAATTCATTAAAAATAAACAACAAAAACCTAATCTCAGACACATGAAATTTCTATGTAATAAATAATTAGTTAATTACCTTTCTACTCGACCTTTTGATTATCATTTCCGCATCAAATGCAGAACCATTGTTGTTTGTTTGTTGATTTCTTGTAGAAGATGGTGTTCAATGGCCAGGGACCGAGCTAGGGCACAATCATAGTTGGGTTAGACGGGCCTTTAGGCCCTTAATCAAGTCTAGCCCACTTTACTAAAATACATTTCCCCCCCCCCCTTTCCCCTTTTTTTTTTAATAAAAAATCGTTTTTCCTTTTTTTTTTTTTTTTTTTTTTTTTTTTTTTTTTTTTTTTTTTTTTTTTTTGTACCTCTTGTTTGTTATGAATGAATTAAAAGGGTAAAATTCTTTTTTTTTTTTTTGAGTAAAGGTAAAAAATCATTTTCTAAATGATAAAAATTTTCAAGTAAAGTCCATTAAATAGTCATAAAAAGATTTTCATGATAAGTAATAGAGTGAGCAAACCTCAAAAGAGAAATCGACAATCAAATCAAACCGAATTTTTTACTTCAATTTCAATTTTCATTCGTCTATAATTTTGACTTTCGATGGTTATTGCTCTTTGGTCTTTTTTTTTTTTTTAATGAAAATCAATTATATTCTCAATTTATATCATATTAAATTTTCTAATTGTACTAAGTAAATCTAATAAACAAAACTTATTAATTTAATTAGATACAAACAAAATTAACATAGGTAATTAATTGGCTGTCCAGCCATCCCATTGTTTCTTGTACCATAAGGAGACATCATTCTCCATTGTCTCCTCAGCACTATTAAAATCTTCAACTGTAGTTAAAATCTAGGGCAACCTGCAGTACACAAGGTGACACATACATACCTCGATTATCTGCCAACGCATTTTATGAAGAAAATGATTCAATAATTTTTCATTATAATTAATATTTATTATATCTTATACATCAAATATTACAGTTAATTATCCAAAATTGTTTGATCCAATGGTTGAAGCGTGTATTAAACTCGACCATGGTGATTACAATTGAGTCATGGAATTAATATCTTGAGAAGAGTTTTCAATATAATCGTTCTTCGACTCGAAAGATATTAATCTTTTATTTAACCGTTCGAGGGAGAGAAAAGATATTTTTAGTAGTAAAAAACAAAATTATTACAGTTATTCTTAGCCAACATAGACAATAGCAAGATACAGATTGAATAAAATAATTAATTATATATATATATATATATATTATTTTATAATTTATAATATATATATATATATAATTATTTTTTTATGCATTGGCAAATTGACATGGGACCTGTGTAATTTAAAATCTGAAATAGGGTTTTAGGATTTTTGTATATATTATTTTTTTTATGCATGGCAAATTGACAATGGGACCGTGTAATTTAAAAACTGAATAGGGTTTAGGATTTTGTTTGGCAAGTTTTTAGTGTAATTTTCCGGTTGGAATTTTTGTGTGGTGGAATGGAATCCCTTAGTAATTAGATAGACTCATGTAGAAGAAGTACTGTGGGTGTGGCCTTGCCACGACATCAGCTAGCCCCCATGTAAATATGCATTTTATCCATTTATAAATTTAAATTCAAGTTGCATTTTAGTTTGTTTATTAAACAAACACGATAAATAGATTCGAATTCAGCTCTTTAACCCTGTAGAATGAACTCGAACAATAAACTTGAACTAGCTTTTCTTGACTCGAATCTCAATCAACTCATAATAATTTGGCTCGTTTACAGTCCTATATATAATAAAGAGAAACTATACGTTATATTTGTGATTACGTAGTGGAATTGAATATCTCATATTAAATAAAATTTTTTTTAGAAGAAGTATAATAAGTTACTGAAAATTAAGAAAAGGAAAATATTAATAAGGATAATACATAATTAATTAATTATTGAAATCAACTTAATTACACATATCAAAGAAACTAATTAAAAAGAATAGAACATACAGTAATTAAAATTTTCTCATCCTTGAATGATTTTCCATTCCTCCAAGATAGATCTAATCTATGCATTGTTTCTAAATTTTGACACGAACGGACGGATGGATGCATGCATGATATATATAATTATTATTAAATCATAGATAGCTATAGAAAGACACACACACACACATATATATATAAATAAATAGAATTGGCAGCAGCAAAAACTTAGAAACTTGGAGAGAATTTTGACCTATAGCTATAAGCCGTTTCCACTTTTCTGTTTTAATTTTGATAGTTATGCCTTTGTTTGATTCCAAACTTCGAATGTTTGGTACTGACTAGTTTGTGTCTCCTTCCTATCAATATTTGTTTATCGTTTCTGCATCAATATATTTTATTTTAACGTATATAAAATGCTATTTTTCCTTTTCATATATATTTTTTTCTTTTTGGGTATTTGGCGTTAGAGGTATATGTATGTCTTTTTTGGACTAAGAGCTTGTTCGGCAGAATTAGTTGTTTGGGTAATTGTTAGCTGTTTGAGTAATTTTTTATAAAATACTAAAAGTTAGACGTTATATGAGTTAACATTTTATAAAACACTACTTTAACTTTTAAAAATTAATTAATTCAAACGCTATGTTATCGAATACTATAAAAAATAATATTTGTTAAAACGCTAAAAGATACTTACAAAAGTAATTGCCGAACACTGTCTAAGGCTTGATTATTTTTGTAGCATTAGAGATGTCTTGAATCATTTTTACATGCATTGTAAACAATTTTCATCTCAAATAATTTTAAGGATGTATTTTTCAATGTAAATCTAGTGTATTCAAGATTATTATTTTTTGAAAATTTTGTTCAATATAAGGGCAATAGCTTTTTAAATAGTTGGTCAAAATGCTAAACGCTATCATCGATAGCGTTCAATAATATAGCGTTTGAACTAACTTTTAGAGGTTAAAATAGTTTTCTATAAAAAGTTAAACCCATATAATATTTAACTTTTGGCATTTTATGAAAAACTATTCAAACAACTAAAAGTTAAACACCGTTAAAATAAACTATCAAAACAACTAATTTTGTAAGCACACTCTAGAGCTGGCCTGTGTATGAAAGAATTAGTTATTTAATTGTTTTTTTTTTTTCTGACAAGAAACTCTAGTCAAGGATATCCGATTTTGGTGGTTGTATATATGCAAAATCATTTTCATGTGATGAGCTAATAATTAATAGTGAGATATGAGATGACCCATAACATTTCAAATCAGAGAGTGTTATGGAGATGGGCATGTCATGTCTAGGCAATGTTGTTGGGTTGCCCCCTCTACAGACACAAATGTCCACCGGAGGCTCTCATTCTTGTTCTCTGAACAGGATAGAAACAACCAAAAACTTGGAAGAGAAGGTTTTCAATAATTTGCTCATTATTGGATACTTATGGTTAAAAGTATGTGAGTGTTTGATTGCATTTTGCACTATGTTTCTATTTATATTATTAGAAAAGAATCCAACTCTCTTTCAAATAGTCTCTTCTCCAATTCTAAAAAAAGTGGCCTGTCATTCTACACTTGAATGTTCATCTTTTGTGGACCCTTTTTTGATACGCTTGATTTCCTTTTTTTTTTTTTTTTTTTCATCTTTTGGTGACCCTTTTTTGATACGCTTGATTTCCTTTTTTTTTTTTTTTTTTTTTTCCTTCTATATTGAAGATATATAAAAATTTTTTTAATCAATCAAATCCTTCTTTTTTTTGCTTCTCTCATTATTGTTGGTAAAAAATCATTGCTATAAAAATAATCCAATGGTTCCTTAATTGATTTTTTTTTTTTTTTTTTTTCCTTCTATATTTGAAGATATAAAAATTTTTAATCAACAAATCCTTCTTTTTTTGCTTCTCATTATTGTTGTAAAAATCATTGCTAAAAAATAATCCAATGTTCACTTAAGTGATAAATCACTTTGTTATTCAATTTTTACATTATTGATCGATGATTCATTTGATTTAGCTATTCATACTCGTTGATAGATATAATAATGGTTACTAATTGCTGGTATTGATAACTAATATCGATTAACTGATGAATATTTGTGTATGATAGAATTTGGAAAGCAGTTACTATTAAAATGTAAAATCATCACCGATAATATAATTATATATATATATACACACACTTTTTAAAGTGAAGATTTTATTTTTATTTTTAATCTTATTTAAATGAACAATATTAATTGAATAATTTTAAAATAACATTTAATAATATTTTATTATTTTCAAATAACTATAAATAAAAATAATCAAAATATTAATTTGAAAAATATAAATTGGTAATCATTTTTACAAGGTAAATGAAATTCAAATAAAATATAAATAGGAACTATCTATCAACTCATCCAAAAAAAGTGAAAAAATGAATCTAATTAATCAATAACTGATTCGAATGTCTAATTTTTTTTTTTATCAGTGAATTCAATTTATTTTATTAATATGTCACGAAAAATTTAATTTATCCAAGCAACTAACCCAAGCCAATTGGCTTCCCAATATACCTAAACTTAATTTATCAAAACACTGCGTTTTGACAATATATTATAAAACTCTGGCTAAGTTTGCATTCAGGTTGACAATATATCTAGAGCGGCTTTTGCTAAAACGCGAGTAGTTTCTTGAAAACTGGCCTCAGATATGAAACTTTGAGTATTCAAAGATGTTCTCGTTAATTCTAATAATATGGCTCAATAACAGATGGCCTTCTTCTAAAGCACATTCCGTTCATTGCAATCATATTATATGAACTCGATTTAAAAAATAAATAAAAAATATCTATTTTATGTTTATGCAAAATTTTTTTTTTTTTTGAAATAGACAACATATGTCCGCTCACAAAGCACGAAGAATAATTGATCAGGTTCGTGGACGTTCTTATGAAGAAACACTTATAATACTTGAACTCATACCTCGGTCTCATCCATCAGGTGGCAGAGAATTGGAGAGGATTCTCGGTTCTTTATAGGCTTCTTGAAGAAGGTTATGCTAATAGCTATGGAAAACCCAAAGAAACTCGTGGGCCAGGGCGTCCCCTCGAGTAAAAGCTTCCCAGTCGGTTGGCCAAAATGAGGATTCCAAATTTACTGAGTTGGGGTACCCGGGGAACGAAGGTTAGTTTAGGGTAATATTGTAACAAGCCGCAAAGGTCGAGATTTTTTTGTAGGTTAGACCTAAATCATAGTGTTTCTTTTTGAAATAAGAA